CTCTCTGGCCACGGACGGCGCAACAGTCTCTCTAACAGCTGACTGTCAGCAGAGCTGTCAGTGGCTGGAACTGTGACGTCAGACGTCAGTAGCAACCTCGATATCCCTGATCCGGTTCGCGAAAGATGAGGTCTGGGTCACGCCCCGCTATCCAGTTCAAGTTCCCCCCAAGTGCGTGCCGACTCAGTGTCTTTCTAGTGATTCATCAGTCTTTTCATCGGGAAGCACCACAGTCAGTGCCACACTGGACAATCATCACAAACTTCGAGTTGCGTCCCCCTATTATCGGAAGCTTCCACTTCGAGTTGCGTCCCCCTATTATCGGAAGCTTCCACTTCGAGTTGCGTCCCCCTATTATCGGAAGCTTCCACTTCGAGTTGCGTCCCCCTATTATCGGAAGCTTCCACTCCGATTTGAGATCCTGATGCAGCGCTGTGATGCTACGACCATCGGGGCCCTTAATCGCACCGATTAGCACAACACAGGATTGTTCCTGTTGATCAAGATGCGCTCTCAAAATGATGATTTTTCCTGCGACTCACGTCCGGCTCAACGGCCACCCACTCGGCAAGAACTCGTGTTCGAGCCTATCCCTGGAAACGGTCAGCGTTCCCTTTCACGGCAATGCCTGAATTGTCTCCTCCTTCGTGAGCCGAAAGGCGAACCGATGAGGAACTCCCTGCCGTCTTGACGACAATCGGGAACTGTGACAATTCTTGTATGTCTCTCCCGAGTTCAGAAATGAGTTGGTTAGATTATATGTCTTTATTCTTAAAGGAAGGGTGGGAGAAGAGGGTTCTTTACAATCTCCTCAGCTCTGCTGCAAACGTCCTTGGTGCGTTGCCTGAGCCCGTACGAGTCTTCGAGCTCGCGACGCAGCGCGAAAACCTCTTCGTACCACTCTGGTGGACATTCAGCAAAGCACATTGCGAAGAGTTCTTGTACCAGATCCCTTCTCTTCCTACCGTAAAGCTGCATGAACCTCGTCAGATACATGCTCCAGATGTCGAAGGCCTCCGGCCACTCGCTCATTCCGATGCTACCTTCATAAAATCGGAAGGCAGCATCAAACTCAGAGCGCCCCTCGAAAAAGGGCGCGACGTTGAGGAGCATCTGCGCATCCACGAGTCCTAGACGGAACATGGTCCCATAGGCCAGTGGTTCCCAAACTTTTTCCTCCGCAGGGGTTCCGCGCAATCCGCCACGGAACCCAAGGGTTCCGCGGAACCCCGTTTGGGAACCTCTGCCATAGGCATATTCGACGTCCTCCGACGTACCGAAGCCTTCTTCGAGGGCCGTGTAAGTCTTCCACAACTTCCTTTTCCTGCGAAGCTCAACTGTTGACTCATCACGATTCGTATCGGGTCCATCCGAGCTCGAGCTCGAGTTCCTCTTCTCGGGTCTTGATCTTTTTCGACATCAACTTGCGTGAGAGATTATACTCGAAGCCAGTATAGGTGTTGAATATCCTCAAGAGATCTCGCAGCGAGGAAACGCTCATGAGGCCTTCTTCGTAGATCTCGCGCGCACGGTCGACGAAGTTCAAACCGATGAAGTGGGCGGCGAGGGAGCACCAAAGATCTCCTTCCTGCTCCGGGAGTTCATCCTGCTCGTTCTTGAAGAATGCCTCGAGCCTCAAGTCCTGCTGCTTCCGCCTTTCTTCGAGCTGCTGGCACAAATCCCACCATGAGGGCTGCTTCGGTTCCTTTTCAGCCGAGGCTAGACCGGCTCTCACCATGTCGGCTACCTTACGCGCGGCTTCGGCTGATCCGCCGAGCAGCTCAGCCGGCGGTATGGCGCCTGCTCGACGATCACCATCGACCCCAAGACGAGTTTGCAGAGCCGATTCACCTCGCCGACACTATACTCCGCAAGAACGGGATAGTGCCGGCGCAGCTAAAGAACAAAAAGTGAGAGGAATGAGCCATCAATTTCGAACAGCCGGATCGTCGTGCAACAGAATCCCAGGGAAATCTTTCAACTTTTCAAGAAGTAAATTCAACTGCCGTCGAAGCATAACCCACCTCGGCTTCGAACAGGCCCCGGGGCGAGCGCGGATAGGGCGTCGCTGGCCGCTTGGGCGCACGATTCTTCTTCGCGGTGCCATCGCTCTGGGCGGTCGGGGGAGCCATTGTTGAGTTTCTGCGCGACGTACGTCCCAGGACTGATTGGGAGCAAGTGAAACGCAGAGCGCGCAGACATCGAGAACAACCGGCCACCAGTGGGCGTGGCGGAATTTGGAGTGATGCGCGGGAATGTTTCCAGAATTGTCAGACCCCACTCTGACAATTCGGCGCGAGACTGTCACGAACAGGACCAGGTCCGTTGCGTCATCACCATTTATTTATTTGTCTAGCAATACTAATCCGTTCACACCATACCTCATTTCACACTCCCAGAGAGAGTCCAATAGTCATCGAGGGCTAATCTAACCATATACTCAAATCAAGGGATTGCTCCTCCATCTCCCCTTGGCATACTTGATAACCAATATTCATTATTTTATCATTATTTCCTGAAATGGATAATTTCAATAAGAGATGAATAATAAAGCACGTTTGGGGATTCGCGCCGTCAGCAGCGGCGCGTATCCAGTAGCGAACTCTTCTCGGAACAGCTCTCTGGCCACGGACGGCGCGACAGTCTCTCTAACAGCTGACTGTCAGCAGAGCTGTCAGTGGCTGGAACTGTGACGTCAGACGTCAGTAGCAACCTCGATATCGGTAGCGCCCTGATCACGCTCAGCGCTCTCGATATTGCTCAGGACTCAGGGTTCGAATCCCTGATCCGGCGAAAAGATAGGTCTGGGTCACGCCCCGCTATCCCGTTCAAGTTCCCCCAAGTGCGTGCCGACTCAGTGTCTTTTTAGTGATTCATCAGTCTTTTCATCGGGAAGCACCACAGTCAGCGCCACACTGGACAATCATCACAAACTTCGAGTTGCGTCCCCCTATTATCGGAAGCTTCCGCTCCGATTTGAGATTCTAATGCAGCTCTGTGATGCTACGAACATCGGGGCTCTTAATCGCACCAATGAGCACAACACAGGATTGTTCCTGTTGATCAAGATGCGCTCTCAAAATGACGATTTTTCGTGCGGTTCACGTCCGGCTCAAAGACCACCCGCTCGGCAGGAACTCATGTTCGAGCCTATCCCTGGGAACGGTCAGCGCTCCCTTTCACGGCAATGCCTGAATTGTCTCCTCCTTCGTGAGCCGAAAGGCGAACCGATAAGGGATTCCCTGCCGTCTAGACGACAATCGGGAATATGAACAATTCTGGTATGTCTCTCCCGCATTCAGAAATGAGTTGGTTAGATTATATCTCTTTATTCTTAAAGGAAGGGTGGTAGAAAAGAGTTTTCCACGAATTCCTCAGCTTTGCTGCAAACGCCCTCGGTGCGTTGCCTGAGCCCGTATAAATTTTCGAGCTCGCGACGCAGCGCGAGAACCTCTTCGGTCCACTCTGGTGGACATACCGCAAAGCACATTGCAAAGAGTTGTTGTACCAGATCCCTTCTCTTCCTACCGTGAAGCTGCATGAACCTCGTCAGATACATGCTCCAGATGTCAAAGATGGTACCTCGTGGATGCGCAGATGCCCCTCAACGTCGCGCTCTTTTTCGATGCTGCCTTCCGATTCTATGAGGGTAGCATCGGAATGAGCGAGTGGCCGGAGGCCTTTGACATCTGGAGCATGTATCTGACGAGGTTCATGCAGCTTTACGGTAGGAAGATAAGGGATCTGGTACAACAACTCTTTGCAATGTGCTTTGCGGAATGTGCAACAGAGTGGGGTACCATCTCAGAAGCCAGAAGCCAGAATCGCGAGAGCCAGAATTGTGAAAGCCAGAAGTTGTGAAAGCCAGAATTGTGAGAGCCAGAAGTTGTGAAAGCCCGAAGTCGTGGAAGCCCGAGTCGTGGAAGCCCGAAATATGAAAGCCCGAATTAGTGAGAGCCCAGATTCATGGCGCCAAGGGGGAGATCAAGAAACTCTCAGATGTACGGAGGCAGGATGGGTCCTCATACCCCTTCTTATTATTCGCTCGGATTACAGCCTACAGCTTTTCGTTAGCTATCTGATACAAGTCGACGCTCAAGTCAAGTCTCGAATGCCGCATCTCTTTTCTTCAGTTCACATGAAAACCAACGCTCATGACGTACTCCATCAGGGTTTTCGCCCCCGTCTCAAGTTCGTATGTCAGACGAATTAAACGCTCCTTCAAGGTCTTATATTTGGGCGATAGCTTCGGCGGGGCTTGCCCGGCTCGGAGCAGAAGCCTGGTGGCCTTTCCCTTGTCTTCCGTTTTTTTCAGGGATTTTCTGAGTTCGAAAATATTTACATGATCCTTCCGGATCGCACGGCTCAGGGCGCTATGCGAAGCCTCCACGTGATTGGTCGTGCGCGCGCCGAAATCGCCAAAGTGATTCCACATACTCTGTGGAAATACCGAGGCGTTTTCAAGCCAATCCTGGATGACTAGAGTTCCCATTTACCCGGACATTTATCCGGGAAAAACCGGACATTTTTCGGACGGACATCGAGGCCTGAACCGGACAAAAAACCGGACGCTTGAAGTTTGATGACCAGGAGGGAATCAGGAGCGTTAGATAATGGAAGAAACCCGACTCGTCACTTTATTCATCGAAGAGGATATCGCAGTTGAATTGAATGGAAAGATGCCTTCTCAGATTTATGGGCGTTAATCTATGGCGACGATCCCAGAGAAGATTCTTGTGCATGGAGAAAGATCGCTCAACATCGGCATTCGAAACATCAGCATATTTGAAAACATCTGCATCTCTTGCTGACAATCTGGATAGATACTCGAAATTCGGATCTCTTCCGAAAGTTCCGTCGGATTGGTAAGCGAACTTTCGTGCCGGAATCACGGGCAGCATTGAGCGCTTCGACTTCTCCGGTATTCTCGGAACCACAGCGAG